TTCACTAAATCTCAGAGGTACATATTGTACTCTTTACTGTACTATATCTCAGAGGTACATGTTGTACTTTTTACCTCTTCATTTACTTGATGACTTCAGTTACTTTGCAGATTCAGATTCATAATACAAAATATAATCAACAAAAAAGAAAACATTATGCTGTATTATTATAGATTAAGATAAACCTTTATTGATCCCTGGAGGCAAATTCACAAGCTACCAGCAGTATATAAAGTAATGAAAATGAGCTCCACCGTTACCATATTATGCAACATTAAACTGATGAACACATTAATGTATCAATCATTATAATCCAGATTCATTATAAACATCATTCTAAAATGGCCCGTTGTGCAAAATGAGTACTTTTACTTTTCGCACTTTCGGTATATATGTATATTCTGATGCTTTAGTACTTATACTTTAGTAAAAAGAAAAGCATGCTGGACAGAATATTTCTACACTGTGGTATTGCTACTTTTACTTGAGTACAATATCTGAGCACTTCTGCAAACAGACTGAAGACTCCTTGAAGAAGACTGAAGACATGCAGATACATTTAAATGTTACAGAGTATAAGAGCAGATGCAAAGTGTAGATAAGTCATTTTAGAAAATATAATGCTGTTTACGTAATGAGCATCTAGTACAGAAAATTAAGGGTTATTTTTATAGACTTTCCAGAAACACGTGTGGAATTAAACCGCTTTTTTTCCCCCGTTGTGTTCGTGTGGTTCCAGGTTCATGTGTGTGTGGATGTAGTCTGTGGAGCGCTGTGATGCCCCTGGAGGTCAGATGGCCGTTCCCACAATGCCCTGCTTTGGCATGGAGGATCTCCAGCTCACTGATCATGGGGATGGTGGGCTCCTATTCCTACTTCTGGACCAGTAAGATCAACCATGGATCTCCAGATGTGTAGAATGTTTGTGATAAACTGAAGGGTGAAGTTTTCCTTTACTTTAACTACTTAAACTACATCTAGCTGATCATACTTTTTACTCCTGTGAGTTTTACAATGCAGAACGTTTACTTGGAGTGGAGTATTTTCTCAGTGTTGTATAAGTAGTTTTACTTCAGTAAAAGATCAGAATACTTCTTCCACACAAGTTTTCTCTCCCTCCCAATCTTCAGAGTACATGAACTGCTTGACGGTCCACAACCACGAGGTTTTGTTGGACCTGATCGACCGGCGGCCCTCGGACACGCCCCTCATCACTCTGTCCAATCACCAGTCTTGTATGGATGACCCGCACATCTGGGGTAAGAAACAGACGCACATTCTCAAATCACACGGTCACATCAGAGAACACAGTGAAAATAATCCCGTGTTTGCGACAGGTGTGCTGAAGTTCAGACAGCTGTGGACCTTCAACAAGATGCGCTGGTGAGTTTTATCATTCCAACACCTCGTTCATTTTGCTTTTATTTTTCTGGGTAATAATCTTTCTCTGTAACCGCGCAGGTCTCCGGCAGCGTCGGACATCTGTTTCACAAAAGAGCTGCACTCCAGATTCTTCAGTCGTGGAAAGTGCGTTCCGGTCTGCAGAGGTGAGTCTCTGTTTGTGTTATTAATCCCTTAACTTTGTCTCACCGTCTGACATCATGATGTGTTCTCTGCAGGCGACGGCGTTTACCAGAAAGGGATGGACTTTATTCTGGAGAAAATGAACAGAGGAGACTGGGTGCACATTTTTCCTGAAGGTATTCCAGCTTTCCTCCTCACATTTCACTCTACTTGTAGTCGTGTCTCTTTCTCTGTAGCTGTTTGATTTAGTTTGAGTGTTGTGGAAATAACACAGACTGTAGATAAGAAGTAGACGTAGTCATCATGACGTCAGCCATCGGTTTGTGGACTGACGTTTTGAAGCCTCAAGTTTGGTGATTCGCCCGTCGCCATCTTGGCTTTTTGCAACCAGTCAACAGGAAGTGACCATATCTGGACTGAGGAGTGACGTAGAATCACTGTGTAGCCCCACCCTAAAGCATCCCCTGCTTTATGGTCTGTGTGACTCTAAATGGACCATAATGTACTAAATGAACATCATGCTGTATTGAAGAAGACTTGAAACTAGAGATTGAGACCATAAACTCATGTTTACAATGTTTACTGAGGTAATAAATGAAGAGAGAAGTAGAGTCATTTTCTCATAGACTTCTATACAACCAGAGGAGTCGCCCCCTGGTGGTCACTAGAGAGAATGCAGCTTTAACACATGAAGCATTGACTTCACTTTAAAGAACCGGAGGTTGCTGCCTGAGATAATAAACACTTCCTCTCTCCTTTTTTATGAAACAGGCAGAGTCAACATGACTGAAGAATATATACGGTTAAAGTGGGGTGAGTACAGTGCATGAGTTTGAGTGTTTGTACAGTGTGACGTTCAGCATCAGAGCTTTGTGAAGATGAACGTAGAGCGCTGGTTTTGCTGTCGTCGGTGTGAAAGTCTGATTGTGGTTCAGATCATTTCCTGTTTGTGTTTTAGGCGTTGGTCGACTCATAGCGGAGTGCTCCCTTAATCCGATTATCCTGCCGCTCTGGCATGTGGGTGAGTAAGATGACATCACCGCATGTTGCTGCTGTTTCATCACTTTATTAAAGATGGAGTCCGCTACACACAGGGAGGAAGAGAATGATGGAAAAATTAAAACATGTCTGCCTTTTGTTTGAGATCACAGTACAGAGATGAAAGACGAGGATTGACGTGCAACTAAGTTCCCACTTTCTTTTTATTGGATCACATCTCTTATTGTTGTTGAGGCAGAGCTGCACAGTATAGCCAGGTTTGTAGCAGGAACATGTTTTAAAACTGCATTTAAAGGACAAGCTTTAGATAATCCTGATCAAAACAGTTAATATGAATAGATTGTGAAATAAACAAAATGACAATATACATTCATTGCTGTCTGTATGAAATAATTCAATAAACTTTATTCTTTTGAATTGCGTTGACAGTAACAGTTTAGATGTGATGTTAAAGGCTTTGGGGTTCTGGAAGTTCTGTGTTTCGGTGAAACACCAAGAAGATCAAGTAGTCTGTTCTTCTTCTGTCTCAGGTTTGAATGACGTTCTGCCAAATGTGGCGCCCTACATTCCTCGGACCGGCAAGGTGGGACCGCTGACATCAGACTCTAGCAGTACTTTAATAAAATGTTTATTGTTGCTTTTAAAGCGGTTGTTTTTCCTTCCAGAGAATCACCGTCCTGGTGGGGAAACCGTTCAGCGTGAAAGAGCTCGTTGAATCCCTCCGAGCCGAGAACAAGAGCCAGGTGAGACGAACACTAAAGATGTCGCCATATTTCATTATGCTGCGTATGTCATGTGTTTTCATACACGTGTATCTAGAGATTGAGAAAGTTTTGTAGCAAAACTTTAGATTTAGTCGCCAGAAACATCGTCGCGCTGAATAAACAATTAATCTTTAAAGCAAAAACTCAGTTTCTCAAATGTGAATATTTTCTTGTTGTTTTTAGTCTTTTGTGATCATAAACTTAATATCTTTTGAGTTTTGATCTGTTCTTTTCTACTATTTGCTGGTGTTCTGTAGACCAAATGATTAATCAATTGAAGATTAAAATAACCGCCGAAATACAACTGGATTGGATGATTTGTCGAGGAAGTCTAGTAAAATATTGGAGAAAACAGCTTAAAGTTGCTCGTTTTGTCCGACTCTAAAACCCAACGATATTCATCACAAAGAAAATCATCAAATCCTCTCATTTCAGAAGCTGAAACTAAACTTATCAACTATCAAACTAGTCTGCGAATGATTTAGTAAATAGTTTCAGCTCCAGTTGGATTCACTGGTTATAGTTAACGAAGGCTAAAGTCCCACTCGAGGCATTCTTCAATGTGTTTTTGCATTTGGAAAAAGAAGAACGCATCTTTTCTTTACATTTTTCCTTTCAGTTGGAAATGAGGAAGACCTTGACTGACTTCATCCAGGAGGAGTTTCGGAGCCTGAAAGTCCAGGCCGAGGCCCTCCACGGACAAGTCCATACCACGTCCTGAGTCCAGAGTCCTAAGACCTGAGTCCTGGTCACTCCTCACAGCCAACAAGACCGAGGATCCTTTACCCTAAACCGAGGGTAAAACCTCTAAAACCGGACGTCCACGCACGCACGCACGCACACTTCCACACTGGACAGTTTGTGGATCACTATCGGTGGAAAAATTAACTGAGCATCCATTACTGCTGATGAGACAACTTTGTAAAAGCATGTTTTTCTTTAATTTAGCATATTCAGTCACTGGGTTTGGCTCCGATCCCGCTGCCGCCCAAAAACAGGGTTGAAACGATAGATCGATGGACGATTAATTGAATTCATACCAATCAATGCTGCGTGACCTCGAAGCAGCCAGTTGGTCCCTGAAGATTGAAAGATCTCAAGCATTTGTGTGGCGTGAAGCACATTCAGTGTCACTTAGTGAACTGTTTATTTTAGCTTCAGCGAGCTGTGCCAATGCAGGAAGTAGTTTGACCTTCATGGACTGTTCATGCAGCAGACTGGAGTCACCGATCTGCAATTCATGTTTGCAATTTTTATTACTAACTGCGATCTTTCCCGAACCTTGAAGTTACAATCTGGAAGATCTCCGTTGGGTTCTCTTTGGCGCCGCCTGTGGCGATTAGCGGTAGTTGCAGCTGTGTCTTGTCGCCTTTTAGCAAGATCGGTTCGATACGACAGCAAACACTCGTTGAGCAGCTACTTTTATCAGAAATATAGCAGAAGACAAGCATCTGTTTACATTGCAGCCAAATAAACTCAGGTGCTTTTTGATAAAGGAATCTGTCAATAATCAGCCTTTTTCTGTCCGTCGTGCCCCGAGCCACAGTCGTCTGACTTCCTGCTGCACGCGGTAATATTTAAAAAACATCCACAAACGTTCTTTGTCCACGTTGACCCTCGTGTTTCCTCTGGTTGTTTCACAATAAAAGCCAGTCAACACTTTGAATATGAGCCAGCAGCAGGAGATGTTGTGTTAGAATTAGCAGCGACTCAAACCAGCGGCTGCAGGAGAGCGAATAATCTCATGTCAACGGTAACACTGGTGCTGCACTGTTTCCTGTGGAGTCCTCCTGCTTAAGAAGGCAATTTAAAAATCCGGGGCGGGAACGGCGGACTATTAGTATTTAGATATTTTTTTCTCTTGGATACGGACACAATAGCGGTCCAGACCAGATATACATATATATTATATATATTTTATATATATATTCCAAATGATGTCACCACTAATTTAAATTGGCAGTTGATGCTATTGTACAACATTACAATATCAATATGATCATCTTCGATACTTTGACCGGCTCCAGTTGCAGTCAGAGATATTCTGTAAGACTCTTTCACATGGAACTGTTTCTTCTTTTATTTCGCTGACGGTGCGATCCTCAGGTGACTCGTTCCTTTATTTGATCTGTGAAAGCAGCACATGCGGAGCAGGTTTGTGGTATTATTGGGCCGTTAATTAAGCTCATTTACAATTATGAAGTTGGAGCGTTTGATGAATGTGTCTCACAAAAAACAGTAATAGAAAGTTCAGATAAAAGCACGAGCATGTTGGTGCAGAAATAACATTTAAAAACTGAGGATTTCATGGAACAGTATTGGTGTTGTCTGGCGTTCAGGTTGCATCAACCTGTTTGAGGAGAACTTCACTTCACACCATGAAATACTAGATCTGAGTATTTAGGGTGCTCCTCTGTGCACATGGAGGGATTTATGATCTAATGAAGGGAATCGGTCAGCGCTGTACTGGTCAACGTGTATTCATCAGAAGCAGGCATGCAGAGTGAATGATTGTTACTTTAATGGTTGTTTTACCGTCACATGTTTCACTTCTGTTCTTCACAACGTCACCGTGTTTCCTCGCTCTGTCATCGCTCTTGTACATTCAAATGAAGTCATTTCTCGGCAATAGATCATTTCTTTTAGTATTCAAAGTATTAAACCGCTAAGTTTTCTTTAGATCCTTTCGAATGCTGCCCCGTTACAGATGTACATAACTTATTTAATCACAGGCTTTTATAATGGAGATGATTTATGAATGTTATGGCCTGACTGTGATTCTTACTCTTTCCTGCTGTATGTGAACGCCAATAAATGCTCAACTTTTACACATTTTAATTGTCTTGTGAAATGTAACGCTTCCCAATCATGTCGTCGTGTCACGTGAGGATATAAATAATAATGTACTTCAGTTTAATAGAGAAGTATTTTATCATATTTTAAAACATCCTCATATGATGATAATATATATAATAATATTGATGCATTAATGTGTTCATCACTTTAATGCTGCAGCTGATCAAAGTGCAGCTAATGCTGGTTAGCTTATCTGATAACATCACAATTTATTAGTTGATTTATATTTTATTAATAATCTGTAAAGTAACTAAATGTGGAGTAAAAAGTACAACATTGGCATTAAAAATGAAAGATAAAGTATAAATACTCGAGTACAATTTGTATCGATAGTAATGGCCTCAATAAACAAATACTGTTGCAAGTAAAAGTCCTGTATTATAAATCTTAAATAAAAGTACATTAATATTGACATCAAAATAAAGTAAAAGTACTCATTATTTAGAATGGGCCATTCCATAATTATATATTATATTACTGGAATGTAGAGTAATTGTAAACATTGTTAATGAGTACTAATAATCGATCTAATGTTAGATTTAAGTTTTAAATACATAAAGTACTACCTTATACTGCGTGTGTTGCAGTATTTGATGCTGCAGTGAAAACAGAGGAGCGTCTCCTCACGTCACGTGACCTCATCTGACGTCACCTGCTGTTAAAGAGATTCTAAAGATGGCGACCACAGGGACGCTTCACCTCCGCAGCGTCTCCGCGCGTTTGACCGTTTTTCTCGCCTTGTTGAACGCGCTGGATTCGGTGAATTGCGATGAGCAGGTGCCGCTCATTCTGTGGACGAGCGCAGGGTGAGTCCCGGTGGATTAATCGCGTTTTATCGTCTCAGGAGCGGTTCAAACCGCTTTTACCTTCTAAGCTAACGGTTAGCCGAGCGTCAGTTGGTGTGTGTGTTAGGAGCGTAGCGTCGACAGTTAGCTTCTAGAATATCATTTGAATGCTGCCTCAACTGTGGTTCGTGTATGTGGTTTTATTTAAATTTAAATGAAGGAAGTAACATGATAATTTCCCGGTAATCCTCATGAGTGACAGGTGCTGTATCACCTGTCACCTGACGAGCCGTTGTCTTATTGTGTTGGGTGGATGAGCAGTTTGATTGAATTACAGAACCAACTGTAAGTTATCCACATAAAGATAGGATGAGACTGTTATTGATGTGGGGGAAGTCAGCAGCATAAGGACGGAAATAAAACTAAAATAAAGATCTAAAGGTGTACATTTTATGCTACTTTCTTCTTCTCCACTACATCTCAGAGGTAAATATTGTACTTTATGCTGTACTACATCTCAGAGGTAAATATTGTATTTTATACTGTACTACATCTCAGAGGTAAATATTGTACTTTATACTGTACTACACCTCAGAGGTAAATATTGTACTTTATACTGTACTACATCTGAGGTAAATATTGTACTTTATACTGTACTACATCTCAGAGG